ATATAAATTCTAAATATAAGATAAAATATAATATTTAAAAATAAAAATATAATAATAAATATAGTAATAAATAATATGAGAATAGGAATATTTATAAAATAAATGAAAATTATAAGAAAATATGATTTTACATATCTAGAAAAAGATTAAGAAATTAAGAAATTTTATATCACTATAATAATAATATATTTTCTAAAAGAATCTTCAATTTTTTTTAAGTTCTAATATATTTCTTGAATATTTATATAACTAGTTAAAAATAAATATTCAAATTTATAATATTGAGTTATTATTTTATTATTATTTAATAAGTTATTATAATCTGAAAATATAATTTCTTCAAGTTTAATTAATCAGTTTTTTTCTGAAATAGATTTAGTTTCTTCAGAGATAATAATAGATAATTCAGATTTTTTTTCAAAAATAATTAAACTATCAGAATTTATGAATTCTATTTTTTCTTTAGTTTTTTCTTTAGTATTAATTTAAGATTTCTCTTTCAGTAAGTAATAATAAATATATTTAACTAGTTAAAGTCTAATTTAGTAGTTATATTAACTAATTCAAAAGACACTTCAATAGATTCTAGTACTATTTGTAACTTCAAGAGAAAAGTATTATTTACTTTAATATCTTGAATAAATTCAGATTACATAAATAAATTCAAAAGAGAAATTCAAATTTCTTGTCCTGCATTATCACAAGTAAGTAATTCAAAAGTTGAAAAGTAGTTATTCCAAAATATTATTAAGTAAGAATCTCTTAATAAAACTTTTTAAGAGATTTAATAATTTAAGAAATAATCTAAGTAAGTAATTGTGATATAATAAAGTAATAAAGATAATAAATATAAAAGATTATAAAGAGATAAAAGATAATAGAAATAAAAAAATATTTGATAAAAAGTAAAAAATATGAAAGAATAAAGAAATAAGTAAAAAGAAGAGAGAGAATATTTATATAAACTCTGAATTAATAATCTATTAAAAATATAGTACTAAAATTAAATTTTCAAAGAAAGATAAATATAAAAGAAGAATAAAATATAATAGAAGATAATTTTAAAGATAGAAATTACAAAATTAAAAGAAGATTCATATAAATTATTTAATAATAATTTATAATTCAAAGTAACTTGATAATTATAATAATATTTGAGTTATCTTTTATTAGTAAAATATTTAAGAATATTTTTATTTTGATTATAAAGTTTATAAGAATTATATTTAGCATAATCATGAATATAATAATATTTTTACTTCAAGTAAATTAAAATTTATTTCTAATTATTAAGTATTACTTACTTTGTTTTTAATTTTAAATATTATTTCTTTTTGAATTTTATTATTATATCTTTGAGAATATTATAATTATTATTATATTAATTTTTTTTTCTGTAAAATCTTCTTTTAAATAAATAGAAATTTTTAATTCAATAGTAGTTTATTATTTTATCTATAAATTAAGAAAAATAATTATACTTTTTTGATTAGTTTAATAGGTAAAAAGAGTAATAAAAATAAAGATATCTTATTCTTGTTTATATACTATTATCAATTTTTATAATATTATATATAATATTCTATTATTCTATTAGTTTGTGAGTAATAAGATAAAGAAAATTTGTGTTTGATTTTAAAGTTTGCTAATAATTCTTTAACTATTTTATTAATAAATTCTAATTTATTATCTAATTAAATTTCTTTGAAGAATTCATATTTATAAATTATTTTTTTAAAGATAAATTTTGCAATTATAGTAGTTTTTATCAGGAATTGATTTAGCTTTAGACTATTTTATAAGATAATTATTTATTATAATAATATATCAATTTTTATTTGTTATTAATTTACAAAGTCTAATTAAATTTATAACTATTCTGTTAAAAGATTATTCAATTTTATAAAGTATAAAAATTATTTGATAATTCTTTTATCAATTTACTGATAGATTTTATAAGTTTTTATATAATTTTTTATATTAGTTTCTATAGTAATAATAATTCAGTCTCTTAATTGGATGAAATTACTGATAATTCTTCTTTTAATCTGAGTAATAGCAATAGTTACTCTAGCAATTTTGATAGCTTTTCAGATAGTAATAGAGATGAAAGATTATTTTATTAATATTTATTTGTAATTCATTAATATATTTCTTTAAATGCAAAATATTCAGATAATAAGTTTGAATGTAAATTAATTAGAATAGCTTTTATTTCATTTTTTTAATAATTCTAAGAGATATAATTGATTTTTTTCTTCTATTAATTTTGTATAATATATTATCAATTTGTAAAAAATATTTTGCTTGATTATATATTCTTTATTATTATTCTATATAATATATTTTATTATTCAAATATCATTATAAATAATAATAAGTTATTAAATCTATATTATTATTATAAAGAGAAATATTTTCTAATAATCTTCTAAATATATTCAAAATAGAATATTAGTATTTTGATTTTTTTTCAGATCAATAAGTAATAATAAGAATATATTCTATGAAAGATATAATTTATTGATTTACTTTAGCAGAATAACTTTATTAATTTTTAAATAATTATCTCAAGATATTATAATTAGTTATTATTTCAAATATAATTCTAAGTAAATAATAATAAAATTATTTAATAATCTATATTATTATTAGTACTTCTTTTTTAATAACTTTATATTTTTGTTTATTTAATTTCAAAATAATATTTATATAAGTAACTACTTATTCTTTTTCTTCTTTATTTTTCTAAAATAAAAAAGTTTCAAGTTCTGAATCTGAGATATCAGTATAAAGATAGAATTTCTTGGTAAAATCAAGATAAATTAAAATAAATATAATTATAATATATTATTTAATCTATTAAAATATTTTTTCTTGTTCTATTATCTAAATAAATAATTTTTATTTTAAAGTAGTTTAAATAAAGAAGTAGTAATTTATAAAAATTCTTTTTATAATATCTAGCTAATCTAAGAAAATATCTAAGTTTTTTAATAATTTTTAATTAAAAAAAATCTTTTATCTTTTGTACAATTGATAGATTAAATAAAATTTCTTTTTTAGTTATTATATATTTAAGAAAAGATAATTCTCTTTTGTAAAAATTATATTTTTCTGGATTATGTGAGGGACTGAAAAGTTTTGCATGTGATACTCTAACTCGAGATTGCATCAGTTTAACTGAAATTAGAAATAATCATCAAATATGCATGATTTTATGTAATAAATAAAAAAAAAGTTAAAGCAAATTCATTATCTCATTATCAAGAAAATAATTTTTTTGTAAAGCATAGTAAAACAACTGGAAAAAAATAAGCTGTGAAAACCAACAATACTTTATTTTTGTTTCTTGGAAAAATAGCAGAAATGCAACTCAAATCTATAAAGAGTTAGTGAACATAGAAGAAGAATAAGCATTATCTATCAGTATAATTAGATGCTGGATTATTATGTTCAAAAATGGAGAAGAAGAAATTAAAGATAATATTTATTCTGGATGTTCTTGCAAAGCAGTGACATCAGAAAAAATTTCCAGGATTGAGGATCTTGTTAGTGATGACCCACATATTTCTATTAAAGAATTAACTAATAAAGTTGGTATTTCTTATGAAAAAATTTCTTACATTTTGCATGAAGAGCTGAATCTTCACAAACTCTGTGCAAAATGAATTTCCTATAGGCTTTCAGAAGAACATAAATGAAATTATGTTGAACTTTTCAAGCAACTATTAAAAATTTTAGATAGAGAATACAAAAATATTATTACTGGTGATAAAATATGGATATATTTCTTTACTATTTTAAATAAGGAAGTGAACAAGTCATGACTAGAAAAGGATGAGAATAGGCTACAAATTGTGAAGACGGTTCAAAATTCAAAAAAAAGAATATTTTACATATTTTTTTCTGTAGATAGAGTTATTATATGATTTGTAGTTCCAAAAGGACAAACAATTAATGCTAACCTTTATGCCAATGAGATACTATCAAAAGTTTTTTCAAACTTTATAGAAAAAAGAAATAGAATGACTGTTTGTAATGTCATGCTTCATCATAATAATGCCACAGCACATAAAGCAAGAATTGTAACAGAATATCTTCATAATGAACAAGTGGAACTTCTTCTTCACTCACCATACAGTTCAGATCTTGCTCCTTGTAATTTTTTCTTATTCTCTCAAATAAAAAAAGAACTAAAGGGAAAGAGATTTGATAAGATCAAAAACTTGGCAAGAGCTGTTCAGGCAGTTGTTGAAGGTATTTCAAAAGAGAACTATGAGAACTCTTTTCAAAGTTGGCAAAATCGGCTAGAATGTTGTATAAAGTTTAATGGAGAGTACTTTGAAGGAATGAAGTAGTTGTATTGATAATTATTACAACAGTTCTGGAAATAAATGTCCACGGGCAAAACTTTTCAGCTCCCCCACGTATAATTTTTTTTAAAAATATTTTTTTCTTAACAACTTATTTTTTTGTTCTTAACATTTATTAATAATTTTATAATTAAAATTGTTTCATAAAGTACTAGATTTAGTACATTGAAAATTTCGTGAAAAATAAATTTTAAAAAATTTTGTCTCTTAATTTATTTTTAATTAAACATCTAACAGATTATTGTATATTACAAAATTTGAATTTAAAATTTATATAGATTTATATCGTACCTAGTACAGAGACCTAAATCCAAACCATTTATAATAAATGAAATTATGTTTAGGGTTAAGAGTCAAGCAAAAATTTAGGTTATCCTTATGTTATTAGTAAATAGGAAGTTATGTCTTGGCATCACAGCGCCACAAAATAAAACCCTAATTTTTAAATTAGATTAAAAATTTGAAATAAAACATACATGTATTTTGTCCACCTTATTTTGGACATACATGTACTGTACATTTGCTTGCACCATCCGGAAAAATTATTTTTCGTATTCCTTTATTGTATACAAGGTATATCATACGTTACTCACCAAATGGTCGTTCATCCATTAGAGCCTCGTACTTTATCGTTACAAAACTGTAAATATCTGCAGCTTTTTTATCTTACCATTTAGCACTTGTACTTGTGAACGAATATAAGAAATCATTTCGCAAATCTCTTGATTTTCTACATGTGTTATGGCGAGCCCCGAATTGGTAATTTGAGCAATATCACGCAATAATATATTTCCAGTGTTTATTATGCACCCCTGGGGAAATTGACAGGGCGTAGAATCGATTTTCCGTTAACGTTGTCGGAAAATTTAAAACTTCGTCTATGTTAGGTCCGGATTAGGATTAGAGTTAAGTGAGTGTTATATTACAGTAAACTTGCACAAGGAAAATTTTTTATTAGAGCATAAAATGGTTTTAATTAGAAGGATGTTGGGTATGTCGGGAAGTTGGCTTGTCGGGATGTTAGATTCCGGGATGTTGGATTGGATCGTCGGGATGTTGGATTTTCGGGAAGATGTCGGAATGTTGGGGTAGACCCGTTTAACGTAGTTTCACCAGGAACATACGATGCCGTCTGGCGTTTGAAAGTTTATCTAGAACATGAAGGACTTACTGAATTGAAATTCACTGCAGAAATCATTGAACAGGTACAATGAGAATCCATTAACCTAGCAATAATAATACGCTACTTTATAATCAATCATAATCATTTCTTTTCATTTTATTTTTCGATACAGGTTAAAACATCCCTTTTTCATTTTATCTTTGATATAGGTTAAAACATCTCTTCTTGATTTTAAAGGTTGCAACAAACTCAAAACTTACCTACAAATGAAGCCCTATTCAAAGACTTAACTAGTAAATATCATTGGGTTGATCTAACACTTCCATTAAAGTAACGATTCCGGAGGAACGACTGATTGATGATGAGTCTACTTGGTATGATGTCGAAATGAAATTTTCGATCATTCTGGATTTTGGAAGAAGAGTTTGGTAAACTTTGTTTTTTTTCTTGTAATAATAGCTGTTAATACATTATCTATTTATGAATTCCTTTTGTTAACTTATGTATCGTTTACTTTCTCATGTTATGTAGCCTCTTGATAGTGTGTGTCTCCGACCTTTATTAATTTGTTGTTCTGACAAGTAAATAAATATAATACTGTACATATTAATCGCGTAAATATTTTTATTTCTATTTTGTTATTAAACATCTAATTTAAAAATCGATTTTGACATTAAAATAGCCATACTAAAAAACTAAAAATTCACATCACACACATCTATATACACATGTATAAATTTTATTTGGGTAGGTGCGAGCCATCGTACGTAATTAAAATAAAATATTTACTTTATTCACGGTAGATAATGTACAAAATAAAATTTATGAATTGTAAATTGAGCGAAGATAAAAAATAAACCCAAGTTTCTAGTAAAAACGTTTGTTATTGAACCATGTTAAAAGATCTAAGATTTGCCCACGTCTTTCCAGACTTTGCCTAAAATATACAAATTATTAGCAAAATAACTCTTATCACTTAGGACTTTATCACTGGTTTCACGGGCAATGGAGGAAATCTCTGACTTTGCAAGTTGCCAAATGACTTCATTCGTCTAAAATTTGAAATTTTTTAGCAAAGTATTTAAATTAATAAAATCATTGAGACATGACATGATTGTCACCTCTTTTTCATTCATTCCTGAAGGTCTTCTTTTTGCCTTTAAATATCCAGAAACTAAGCCAGATGCAAATGAAAAACTATTAATGGCTCCATTAAATCCATTCAACATGGTTGCCATAGGAAATCTATTTTGATGAGCTTCGGCTCTAGATACGTAAATTTCGCCTAAAAGAGATAGCAGTCTCTTGCCGTTAGGTTCAGTAGAGAGTTTTTGAGCTTCTTGAGAAAGACTTTCTTTGAATGATTTAAATTCCGCATGGTCATTATTTGGAAATTGATGGAGCTTGTCTTGGAGATGACGGGCAATACGAGATACACGAGTAATGTGACGACGCTCTCTTTGTTCGGACGAATTTATCATTTTCAGTTCGGGTGAGCTCCCATCTTCCACTACGGAAGCAAGCCAGAGGCCAATTTCAAGGTTGCCAATATAAGGAATCCAAGAATCTCCTCCTACATGGACATTTAACGATGCTTTACCCACTATATTTAAATTAATTGAATCGGAAAAATGTTAAAATCATAAACACAAAAGCAAACTTATTTAGTACGTACAATCATGAATAGTTCCATAATTATCATAAATAGCACGCTTATCCTCATTCGAAAGGATTTCATATGCCTTTGAGATTTTGTTCCACTAGATTGTGGATGTTGAATTAGCAGGTGAATTGAATTAAATGAGAATATATCTCTGATAATGGCACCTCTTCGGTTTCAATGCCACCATTCTTATCAGGGTGGTGCTTCAGGGCGAGTTTCTTGTAGTTTGATTTGATTTCAGCTTCAGTAGCGTTGGGTTCTAACTGGAGCGCGATATACAAACTCGTTTCTTTTGGTTTACTTTCAGCTGTTCGAATAATAATAAGGATGAATGCGCATAATATGCTATAATTTGATTTGCTATTGCTTACCATTAGAAGGTTCAGTTTTCGATGACTTATTTAACCATGTTTTTAATATCTCCTGTTTACTTATGCTATATTCATTTTTATCAATCTCACCATTCTTTAATCGACGTTCGTTCTCTTGTAACGCTGCCTGGAGACTCATTCTATTAATACAATGGTTTAAACTAATTCTAGTCTTTTGTATTAGTTTTTTAAATAATAACTATCTTATTTTAATTATTTGCGTATTGAATTCTACTAGTAAAATAGAAAACACATCGTGGGCACATTTATATGAGAATATTCTCCAAAAAAATGCTGCCATGAGGAACCCTGGATTTGTGGTGAATAGGATACTTGATAAAATCCATATAATTGAAAGCGCGTGAAACGTTCCTGATGACAACGACATAAAAATTCTGTATCTGAATAGATACCGGCGCAACATAATAAAAATTACTATTTTAATCCTCTTTAACGTTAACATTAAAGTAGGCGTCACAAATATGTTATCACTATCAATATTTAACGCAACACATGTATTATTTTTACCCCTTAACTGCCACCACAAGAATAAAGAACACAAAAATTTTGCATCTGAACGAGTTGTATATCAATGATAATAAATTACCATTTTAATTCTCTTTTAACATTAAAGTAGGCTCCACAAATATGGTATATGTATCACTATCGATTTAACTCTCTCTGCATATTACACTAAATTCTGTGTCAGAAACGAAATGCATATCAATATTGCCATTTTAATATTAAAGTTGGCTCAGCTAATATGGTATATGTATCGATTTTAATTCGTTCGGCATATTAACTGTCGTTAGGAGAATAGAAGCACCATACATATTACCATTTTAATTCTCTTTAACGCTAACATAGACTCCACAAATATTGGCGCAAAAATTCTGTGTCTGAAACGAAATGTATGTCAATACCATTTCAAGTCTCTTTAACGTTAAAGTAGGCTTACTATGCATATTACCATTTTAATTCTCTTTAACGCTAAAGTAGACTCCATAAATATTGACACAAAAATTCTGTGTCTGGAACGAAATGTATGTCAATACCTTTTTAAGTCTCTTTAACGTTAAAGTAGGCTCAATAAATTGAATGTACACATGTATATATAGCACATGTATCGATATTAATGCTAACGCAAACATTCAAAATTTTGCTATCATATAATTTGCTTTTACATATCCGCTAAATTCTTTCCAACTCGGTTTGTAATTTAAATATTTTTTGGACAATGATGTTTTATTTACATTTCACAATTTCACTAGCTAATCCTGGGACTTCTATTAGCAACAGAAAAGTAAAGTATAGATATGAATGGATCTACCCTTCAGCAAAAATTCTATGAGCTCGAGCAATGCAGATATTATTTGACTGATGAAGAGTACAGAAAAACTAGACAAGCAATCTTGAACCAATTTTCTGGAGGTATGGTACTTTGTTCTGTGTATACGATGAATATTACATGTATTTGACTTGGACATTCTTCCCTTTGACACATGAACTGCTATAATAAAAAGCTCAGAAAGAACCAAGTTTCTGGAGAAGATTATATGTCAAAGCATGCCAATTCGGTCTTTCCTTCGTCGCGCACCTGGTTTTCCCTATCCTTGGCAGCATTGGCATGCACGTGGCGGGACCAGCCGTCGCAGGCTTTATCGCGAATAGATGCTTCTCTTAAGTTCAAAAATTTGAATTTGGCTGGCATTAATTATTATCTTTTTATTCTTCATATTAATAAAGTTAAATGAGGAATTTAACCATTGAATGCTATTACGGCAAGTGACATCTTAGTTATCATTATCCTCATTAATACTTGATAGTATATATATATATATCATGAGTTGAAACTGAATTTGAGTTGATTCCGAATAAATCTATGTTGAACCTGCGTTGTTTCGAAATCCTTAATTCAACATACAGTGGCTCACTTATGAAAACGGACATGAAAAATTTTACGAAAAAAAATCATAGCGCTTCCAATATCGATTAAATACATCTGGTTTCTATCGCTATACTCATTCTAAAGCTAATATTAAGAAATGCCTAATAAATATGTTATTATTCCAATCTTAGGAAAATTAAGTGATCTATATGAATATTTTTAATTAGTGAAATTTTAACTTCAAATAGTTTTGTTATCAGGAAGGATTAAAAAGAATTGCCCTAATAAAAATGTGCTTTTTTATTAGAACTACCTAAACCAATTTCCAGTTATATTAGTATCAAATTCGTTTAATTATTAGATCCTGAAGTAACAAATTAATGCTAATAAAGAAATAGTTGAATTATTTTTATTAGCAACAATTTGTTAATCGGGATCCAATTGCAAAACAAATTTAATACTAATTTAACTTAAAATTGGTAATAGGTAGTTCGAATAAAAAAGTACATTTTTACTAGGGCAATCCTTTTCAATCCTTCCTGATAACAAACCTATTTGAAGTTAAAATTTCACTAATTAAAAATATTCATATAGATCACTTAATTTCCTAAGCTTGGAATAATAACATATTTATTAGGCATTTCTTAATATTCTCTAGGTTATTAGCTTTAGAATGAGTATAGAAACCAGGTGTATTTAATCGATATTGGAAGCGCTATGATTTTTTTTCGCAAAATTTTTCATGTCCGTTTTCAAAGTGAGCCACTGTAACTCAATCCCAACCAGTCACGTTATTCATTGCATCAGACAACAAAAAATTTATTTCCATCAACAAAAAACCCTGTGAGAAAATTTATCGGTAAACCTCTGTAACCACCCGGTAATTTGTAACTGGTACATGTAAGACCGTAATCTAATGTTATACGCGATCTGTAATAATTTTTCAAAATAAAACCACCCGGAATCATAAATAATTAAAAAATGCGACTGTGTTCCAAAAATAGAAACTGTTAATTGTCAATACACTAATTTGAGAATTGAGACATGTCGTGCGTCCATGTACGTACATTTGCATGTGGGTACGGCACATATACATAGTTTAATACATGTACTGTACATGTATATGTATGTAAGTCATCCGATTACCTGGCTTTCAAAGCAAACTTGAAAGTTTAGAATTTGGGGTTCCATAAAATTCGAATCATTGATTGTACTATAAATCACGTTTAATTATTATCTAGATGATCTTTATTTTTAGGACATCAAAATGAAACCAAACGCTAATTCCCAAAAAAGTCAGACGATTTTTACAATGAAATCAAATTTGTCAAAGGCTTTGCAATACCTATATATAGCGTTGAACTGCGTAAGTGCATGTATAACGGTAATAAAACTTAATGATTAACGTTAATTCCAATATACATGTTTGTTTGTAGGACATTCAAAATGAGACCAAACACTAATTCCTAAAAAAAGTTAGACGATTTTTGTAATGAAACCAAATTTGTCAAAGGCATTGCAATACCTATGCATAGCGTTTGAACTACGTAAGTGCATGTACAGTGGCGCTCAAAAGTATTGCATCACCCGGACGATAAATTTCACGTTTCATATACAATATCAATCAATATATAAATAGGCTCATTATAATGCCTATATATGGACGAAACATCGTATCAT